TTACTCCATTCAAGCGGCACCAACGTCGTTCGATACCGTTCCCTGAAAACTAATCGTCAAAATATGAAAGTAGAAGAATCTACGCTACGATGCCCCTTTTGAGACGTCATGAGCGAACAGTTCCGGTTAAACTGTGCGTACATCCTCGTCCTTTCGATCCTGATCCACTCCTTCGTGTCTCACTGTCGTCCGGAGTTTGACAAAGACACGTCCAGGTAATCGAGCGACGCTTCCATCGGGTTTTTCGGCACTCAAAGGTTATCGACCTCGAGAATCGACGGTTACTTTGGAATTAGACGTATCTAGTACCGGATAAGGGCGACGATCTGAATCTCGTGCTTCCCTTTCTTCCAGTCGGCTCCGTTCGACGTTTTACGGTCGGCGAAGCCTGTTCCAATATGTTTAGAGATTTCGTTCTGACCGATGGAGTACGAAAGTGGTTGGTCATTTCGAACTGAGGTTTCACCCTTTCAACTCTTCTTGCGAACTGCGATCGTGGGCGAGGGTGAGCTCGCTCTTTGTAGGGTCTTTCGAAACGGACATGCACCAATCAGGGTGCCTAAATCAGAGCTACTTAACTTCTTGCTCACGAGCAAATTTCCCTTCCCGAGGTTCCTACACTATGCGACTGAGATGAGGACGCGAGGAGTCCTCCTCCCACAGCTCCAGCGATAGTTTTTTGCTACGAACACGCAGTTAAACAAAAGGCAGTCAACTCGAGCGAGATCATCTCAGTAGCACAGTGTGGGAACCCCGGGAGGGGAAATTTGCTCGTGAGCAAGGACTCTAAGCAGCTCTGGCCTGAATGGTGGCGACAACCCTCTCCTTGCGCGTTTCTTCGGAGAAGCGGATGCCTGTGAGCCGCTTTCGGGGGACCGAATTTGTTCAGCCCCGAAAGCGGTACCGGTTTATTGCTAGAAGAAACTACCGCGGGTGCGAGCAATGGATGTTCGCGCGGCGCAGGGTAGAGCAATGGGGGTCTGATCGGTCGCTAAAAGGTGGCTAATGAGTAAGACTCAACATTGGTGATCAGTCTTTTCTAGTTTCTCTTTGGTTAATTTCTGGTAAAAGTTCTATTTCGCGTTCGCTTGGTGGTAAGTGGAGAGTGAGGTCTCTGGTAAAGCGTTAACCGCGGTGACCGTACGTTCTTCATAACAAAGAGTTGTTCTTTATTTTAAGTGTAATAGTTATGTTTTAGAAATATTTATTTGGATTTGTTTGTAAATTTTTTAACACGCTGACTAGTGACAGTCGCAAAATGAGTTTGGAAACAAGTCGCGACAAAATCTTGAAACTTCAGGTCTGTTCTCTATTTTCTCCTAGAATATTAGGTCGTTCTGTAAATTCGTGCCGAATTTTATAATTTAGTTGGATATTTCCAAGGAATCTTTAAATTTGATAAAAGAAACGTAAACGCCTTCTCATTCCATAATTGTTTTCTTAAGACCATTATGCCATCGCTATTTTCTTGGATTTTCGTTCAAATGTTTCTCGCTTTCGGCACGAACTTATGCAATGTACGGTCACCGTATGCACAACCTTCGCTTTCTTCGATTGTTCGCGATAAGAAGGAACACTTCCAGCCAACGAGACCGCATTTCTTCCGCTCCTCATCTTCTCAGCAACGCACAAGTACACGCGGCCAATTTCGTTCACCAAATTACATATAAATTTCATTTAAACGATAAAGAGTTCTTCAAAAGAAACTCTTAAAATTGCCACCTTTTCTCTGCAAATTTTTATCTAACTTGCGCCGCACGGTGATTCCAAAAATTTCATCTTCTTTCACCGATAATCAAGAGCACTCTGTTTTTCCACTGATTTTCGTTCAATTCACGCACTAAGATTGCCGCATATTACCCTTCTCCGTCCCCTGTTAGAATATGCTTCAATTATACCGTCTCCGAAAAGCTTTAATCACGAAATCATGCTCGAGAGAGTGCAGCAAAAATTTCAAACCAATATTAAACACAGTCAACATGGAAACATTGTCTGCACGAAGAAGAATATCCGACCACAGCTTTATTTTTAATTTAATTAATAACCATATCGATTGTCCCTCTCTCCTTATGCAAATCAATTTCTACGTATAGTCGGGGCCACGATATAGCGAGGTCGTAAAATCGGTCAGACGTCAAAGTAAACATGTTTTAGCTGCCGGGACCCGAAAATTGACAGAGATACGAGCAGATAAGTACTTGAAACCATGGTCAGGACCAGGTAAAGGTCTTATTGATGTCTTTAGCATCTTAGTTTATCTACTCGTGTTATATACAGATAGAAAGTGCAAAAAGATTGTGTAGCTTAATACTAACATATTTTCCATTTGTAAATGAAATACCATTTTCTACTTGAAGTACCAAATCATATGCTACCATTTGTTTATTGTTGGAACCCTCAAACAGACTGCGACACACGGCCTTGAGTGCCGCAACATCAATCGATGCCGATTCTTGAGAGTTTAATTTACGACCTCGCTATATCGTGGCCCCAACTATACCTGAACGCGTATCGAGATCCAGAGCACGATTACAAATACTTAAATCCAGATCTACATACGGATTAATTAATCCAATAAATCGCGTTATTGCTGACTCTAGCACTCTCTATAATCGTATTGACTTTTTTTACTGGGTCTTTACACACTTTTAATAATGCCGTACCTTTTGCACCATGAGTTTTTGTGCACGTCCCTTCTTTGCTATGTTATGTAAATATCTTTTCTCTTTTGTGTAAACATTTATGCGAGAGGGCTTCGGTACGTTTATAAATAAATAATAGTTTACATCGGAGGCGCGATAGTGCTTTAATTCACGACCTCGAAATATTTCTTCCACCGACTATACATCTCGCTCCTTGCCTCCAGTAACGCAGACTCGAGCAGCTACGCGATCAAGGATCACCGAAGCAACGTAGACCCGTCGATCGAGCAAATTTTCCGAGGACCAAACGACAGGAGCAGCTCTGTGTCGAGTTCCAAACGGAACGTCCCGATTGAAAACGCGAAATCCGCGCAGTCGGAGGAGATCGGGAAACGTGGACGAGTGAAACGCGAGAATGCAGGTAAAAGGAGCGACTCGAAGAATTTAATCGAAGCTTCGCGAAAGGATGAAAAACGATCGGTGTCTAAAGCTGGTGATCCTACTTCGAGAACCAGTCGTTCCTCCAGAGACCTTCCCAACCTTCCAGCCAAAGATTACGAGATTCCTCTCGATCGGGATAAATCCGAGTACTCCGACGTAGCCGAGGATGATTCTTCCAGCGGTTCGAAGAACAAGGAAGGTAAATACAAAGGAGGCGAAATCAACGTTAAAGAGGATTCCGAGAGGTTCATCGACCAAGAGGAGAGGTCCAGCTTGTACGATGATTTCGAGGCGAAAGACGTGGTTAAAAGAGGAATTTCTGGGGTGGAAGACTACGAAGAGATGGAGGACGATCCTTTTGGAGCTGCGGAGGACGCGGCGTTGGACGATGGTCAGATTTCAGACGAGGAGGTCGATAAGAAAAAGGTGCACAGCGACGTCAGGGTGAAGAGACAGCACGAGAACTTGAAGGATAGTGGGATCGTGGAGATTTCTGGGAAAGCGGAGAATCCTGGAGCGTCGAGTAACTTGATTAACGATGAAAAATCTCAAGAAGCGTCCTTGAAGCAGGATTCTGTGAGTGACAGGGACAGCAAAATAGCTGAAACTCAGGTGAGCAAGGATTCTACCGATCAGGGAGAGCAGTTGAAGAGGAACGTTGCGGAGAAGAGCGAGAACGACGCGTCGAAGATTAGTTCTGATCGAGACGCGGACAATTCGAAGCTGTCTTTGATTACAAGCGATCAGTCTGAGATAGAAAGCAACGAGAATACGAAGTTACTTAATCGAGACATTCCAGATGCCTCGGGAGACAGAAAAACACAGGAAGCTGGCTTGTCGAGTAACACCAAAGGACTGAGCGACATAGTTAGCGAGCCTTCGAGTCTCAAAGGAGGTTCCAAGGTGGACGAATCGAAGATCGCCGAGATTCAAACTCCAGAGGCGGTGAAGATCGAAGTTCTCGCGAATTCTGCAGAAGCTGCGCCCGTGGAAGACTCTGAAAAGCTAGAAAGCTCGAGGAACGAAGTTGCAGCGAAGGAGCAGTTAGACGGAGACTACGAGAAACGCGTGGAGGAACAGATCCAGAGAAGGATCGATTCCATCAAGGAGGAGATCAAGCGAGAGATCGCGGAGAATCGACGCATGAAGGAGATCGAGGAGAACAACGACAAGTTCGACGAGTTGCGCGAGGAAGAAGACGAGGACGAAGAGCAGGCGATGGAATACGAGCCTTCGGAGAAGCAGGACAGTTTATCCAAGAGATCCCTTCGGAATTCGGGCAAATCTCAGGTGCGCGAGAACACCGAGAAGAAAGCTGTGAAAAGAAAGAAGAGGCAAGGTGACGGTGCTCGGGAAAAGGTGCAAGGCTCGAAGAAATCGCGCGAGATGAAGAAACGATCGGTGGGAAAATCGGAATCGGAGGACGCAGCTGCTCTAACTGAAACGGCGAGGAAGCGTGAATTTCCGAGACAGGCGTATTTGGTGAGGACGGACCGGAAGAAGAAGAGAAAGAGGAGGTCTAAGAATTCCATGCTGATTCCGGAACAACGAAGCGTGAAACTCGAGGAGAGCCTTCCGGGCGACCTCGCGTTCGATTCGAGCTTGCGCGGAGATCTTGACAATAGTAAGGTGAAAAATTGAGATTAATTTAATCTCAGGAGTGATCGATACCTGATAATTCGCTTGAAATCGTTCCATCAGCAGTCGAAAGTGAGCGAAGATGAGAAAGCGACGGCGGAACAGGAGTCTTTGGCGGAGAAAAGGTCTGGTTCTGTAGCGTCGCTGACCGGAAATGGAGAAGAGACGGGACCATTGGCGACGGAGTACGGAGAAGCGTTTGGAGGTTTGAACGGAGAGCCTGGGATGGCTCTGGCTAGGTTTAAGAGGATCAAACGAGTCCTCGGGCCTCAAGCTTCCAAGACCTTGGGGTAGTAACGGGAATAATGCTGGATTAGACACTTTTTCTTTCAGACGATAATTGTAAGGAGCAGGTAGATTAATTAATTTAGAGTCTTGGCGTGTTAATCGATCCTGGTTGTCGGTACGTGACCAGTCGTCGATATGCTTTTACAGAGGTGTTTCGAAAGTGTTCCATCGACGTTCCTCCTGAGTTCTACTGTGGCGTAATTCACTGAAAACCGTAAGTGTGCTTTATAAAACAGCGCATTTTTATTGTAATAATTAACGTGTAGTGTTTCTTTTTTATACCTGATCTATCTCGACGACGAAATGTTCGAAAGCAGTCTATTCCGACTTTTCGCGCAATTCTGTCGACGATAAGAAAGTTCTATTGTGGCGTAATCTGTGAAACACCGGAAGTGTACCTTATTAAATAGCGCCTTCTCATTCGAATAATCAACGTATAGTGTTCCTTTTTCGTACCTGATCTATCTCGACGACGAAATGTTCGAAAGTAATCTTACTATATCCTGATTTTTCGTGCAATTTTGTAGACGATAAGAAAAAGCTCCATTGTGGCGTAATTTATGAAAAACCAGAAGTGTACCTTATTAAATAGCGCCTTCTCATTCGAATAATTAACGTATAGTGTTCCTTTTTTGTACCTGATCTATCTCGACGACGAAATGTCCGAAATCAGTCTATTCTGACTTTTCGTGCAATTCTGTCGATGATAAAAAAAAGTTCTACTGTGGCGTAATTTACGAGAAACCAGAAGTGTATCTTATTAAACAGCGCTTTCTTATTCGAATTACCAACGTGTAGCCTTCCTTTTGTACCTGATCTAGCTCGACGACGGAAATATTCTACCGTCTTTTCGCGCAATTCTGTCGACGATAAGAGAAAGTATCATACTTGTAAGCGGAAGAAAAATTCTCCCGTCAATCTGTAAAACAAATTTTCCAATTACCTGGATCGATCGATGATCTCCGCTCCGCCCCGACGCCGCCTGTGGGACATGAAATGGAAAGATAAAGACAGGTGGTGCCCAGGCAAAATTACACAACAGACGCAGATTCGTAGACGTTCAAGATTTAATAACAAAGATACGATTAAACACGAAGAAGACACATAGATCGTTAACCCTCTTTTTTTGTGCGCTTACATTACGGGGGAGACTTTGACTTTTTAATTTTTTTTTTGAAACTTCTCGGCAAGCGAGTCCCGCCGTCTCCTACTTGTACCATCATCCATCTCTCCTTATCACCGTTCTACTTTACAACAATATGAAACAATTATTTACACATCGACGGGCAGAAGGACCACGGTGTCGTGTGAGAAAATGCTGAAAGTGACGTTTTCGTTCCATTCTTCTTCCTCTTTTCCTCCTAACGATATACACGTCTACCAGGATGTGCGCGGAGAGAGCTGTTTCTCCCGGCCGTTGGAGTGCGCGATAAAAAAGATCGAGATCGAAATTCCGCTACAAAAAAAGTGCTAGATCACGGGACTTCGATCTCCAACTCCCTCGCTTCTCACAGTCTCGGGTATTCTTTTTCCTCTTCTTCGATCGTTCACGATTACATTCGCGCGTGCTTAATTTTCTCATTGCCAAAGAACTGCATATGCGTGTGTGCCGAGAGAGAGGTGCGGGCTCGTTACGACGAAGCGGGCTTAAAATTGAGATTCGATCGTTGGGAACAACTAGAGCCAGAGAGGGTAAAGTAACTCTCTGTCGATTATTTTCGGGTTTTCCCGCGCGAATGTAAGCGTACACGTATCGCAGAAGTGTACATCCTAGCTGAAAGCTCCTCCGTCGCGTCTCTTATTTTCTTTCCGATCGCCGACTGACTTCGTTTCTCGAGGTGGGAGGAGAAGGGTTGGATTGGTCGTGCGAGAGCGTGTACAGCGCGCTGTCGTGCTGTCCGATCGATCGATTGAAATTCACGGGGAAGAGATTCTCGACAAGACGAACGTCAGTCTGACGATAAAGGCTCGTTGGTGAAAACTCGTTCAGGCACCGATCGTTCAGAAAAAAAGAATCTCCACGCCTTCGTCCATTCGTCCTTCTTTCGCTCCACAGAATTGACAAGGACTTTTCTTACGTTTTTCCTTCGCCGAACTTTATCTCGGATATAAGTCGGTGTTTTGCGATGCTACATTTCATGTAGACTTTGCGGCTGAAAATTTCGGAGGTGGAGAAAGGACCGCAGACGAGCGGAATATATGCGGTGTATGAATTCGAGCGTGCAAGCGGCAACAACGTGAGACGAGACGAAAAAGCCGCGAGACTGTTATTTCATCTTCTTCTTCTTTTTGTTTTTAATGGTAAAAGATGAGAAAACACCGGATCGTCGTTCTCGGTGCGGTGGATACTTTTCTTCGTTTTTTCTTCTTCTCTCTTTTCATTTGCGACGGATACTCTGCTTGGTACTTGGTGCATGTCGATAGAGACTTTGTTTTTATTTAAAAAAATCGATGTCTGAGAAATGGTGTTCACAATAATATGGTACAACAACGTAACGGCATTACAGACTTAATATATATATATATATATAGGTATATGTATATACATCTGTATACACATATACGTACACGTATATATGTGTATATATATATATGCGTAATATTCATAATAATATAGGTAATGTTCTTTACCACAATAACATGGCTATATACAAATATTACAATGTTTCCTTTCCCTTTCGTTTCTCATTCTCCGAGAGCGTCGCGCGCGCGCGTTCGATACAACGATCGACCCGAGTCGAAGACGAGCTGCGTTTCCCTACCTTTCGTTTTTCCTCTCTTCTCTTTCTTTCGATCGTTCCACCTACCTCGTTAATCGTGCGACAAACAATTCGTTACACCTGCCACGCATAGACCGGGACCGATGTTCCCTATCCACCAAGCCGTTCTCTTTCTCTCGCCGCGGACAAAAAGCGTGCGTGTATACCGCGTGTGCACGCGAGAGAGTGATAAGAGAGAGGTGGGAGAAGGGAGAGACGGAGAAGTAGAGAGAGGAGTCTTACTTTACGTGTTCGCGCCTTCCCTTTTCAAGAGAAGCAACGGGAGATCTACGTGTACGGATGGAAAGAAGGGGGACAGAGAAAGAGAGAACGCTTGGAGATCGTTACGCAGGATTCTACGGCGGATGTCGCGGCTGCGAAACGGAAATACAAGTCGTGATCGCTCTCCCTCGAGACCGGAAATTCCAACGCAACCGCCGTATCTGCAGATTTATTCTAATCGTAGACTCTGTGTACTCTCGACGAAGTATTCAAGGCTTAACTCTTAATTAAATCCGTCTTACGCTGGAATTTTCCGGCCTCGAGGAGACAAAGTGTTTATTCTCGAATATTTCCCGCTGACGCAGATTCTGTAAAGTTCGCCAATTTACGAATTATCGTCGCTCGGTGTTAAAATACTACGACTTACAAAAAGGAAAATCCAAAATGATCGCGAGATAAACAACGGCGTAAATCGACGCGATCGGCTCGGATCTAAGGTGGCTCACGCAACGATTCAAATTTGCGTATTCCGCGTTAAGTATCGCAATTTGTTTTCAGAACGATCTTACAATCTAGAGCGACGAAATAACTGACGCGCTTTGGCACCGCCTCGCGGCTGCGAGACTTTCTCCGCGTTCACAGGGGATGACAGGCGGGAAGGAACCAGAGGGAAGAAAGTTCCTCCTCGAGTTCCTTCCTCCTTTCTCCCGTATCGATCGTTCACCTGGACTCCGCTAAAAATTGCAACAGATTTCAGCATGCGACAGTTCCCTTCTGACCTGATTTCGACCGACCGACCTTGAACTCTCCCTCGAGGACCACCTTTCTTGTCGCAACGAACGAGACGCCGAGGGATGTACAATTTCTAGGCAGTCTTTCACTCCGATCGACGATGTTTCAACAATGTGGAAAGCTGTCTCGAACGGGAAATCCCTGGATAGAGCCGGATGTCTTATTTATCGAGAGCGAAGGGATAAAGTAGACGACGACGCAGGCTGAGACGTTTGCGACTATGTATCAAGCATGATTCAGGGTGATTTTTGTGTTTAATCTTGGCTGGAACGACTCTCGAGCCTGTCGTCGCATCTGATTAAATTCGCGGTTAGGCACGGTAACGGGCGGTACGCTCGGTGGATCGATGGAAACCGTGTAGAATCGGCGATAATTTTGAACAAATCGTCGGGGTAACGGAAGCGTACTGAGAAGCTTTCGACAGTCAGCTTTCGATCGCTTTATTCTAGCAACAAACGTATTTCTCTATTAGATTCCCCGATAAACATGTTCGACGTGTATTTTTCTCAATTTGTACTCAGTTATAAAATATTCTCGGTACCAACTACGTTACAATCTTCGTTCTTATAATTTTTCTCACACCATCAACGTGACGAACTGCCAGAATACGCGCGACTGAGTAAAATTGTAAGTTTCGGGAGGGGAAGTCGAACGAGTTCAGCGCCTTTCGAATGTGCCGTAGCCTAAGTACGTTACACGGTAGTCTCCATTTTTCCTCGTCTTCTTTATCTCCTTCGATTCTAACATTATATACTTTAGTTTCGAGTAAGTCTAAAACGCGACGAATTAATTATCGTGTACAAAGTACAGCGTATTACTTTCAAAAAACAATTGACGACGCGCGAAGGTTGTTATACTCTTCGTCTTCGCGGTTTTATTTTTTTTCTCTCCTCTGTATAAGTTTTCTCTTTTTTTTCTTTCTTTTGTTTCGTTCAACGAAATTGAACACTTCATGTTCGCTGCTTCCAATATAATCACAGTAAAAAGGAAACACGAAACGTAGGTGAACGCGCTCGCAGGCTGAGTAAGAAGTGCGCAACCGAAGGAAAGGACAAAAAGTAGCGAAGAGAGTTCGAAATGCTCGATCAATGTCGACGATATCTCGGTCGAATAAAGGAAAAAAAATCGCGTCTCCCTCCTCTCTCTCTCTCTCTCGTGTCTATTATGTCTTTATGCGTTTCACATGCTCTCCTATAGTTTCATCCCCGTTAAGTACTCCCCGTTTTACGACGATGAGGAGCATAACCGACCCACGTATTCTGTATATTCATATATTCTTCTTTTTTGTTATTTTTTTTTGTCATTTTTCTAAATTGTAATTCCACCTAAACAGTAGTATCTCTTCTTCATCTTCATCTTCATCTTCTTCTTCTGCTTCTTCTTTTTTTTTTGTTTGTTTTTACCTTACTAGGATCGTATATGACAAAAGCATGTATAAATCAGTAGACATTTTTGTTTTGTGCTTCTTAGAGATCATACATGATACAATGTACAAAGTAGTATAAAATAAAAAAAGGATTAATAAAGATTTGTATTACTTAATCTTCAATTAACGGTTTTTTATCACGAACGGGACACCAGAGTGTGTGTCGCCCGGTCGACGGACGAGACTTTCCAACGCGAACACGTTTCTCATGGCCGATTTTTCTCTATCGTCTTTTCTGTGGCTTGCTGATACAGTTTTGCTTTTCTTTTTCCCTCTCTTTTGGCTGGTTCATCCTCCGGATAGTATTCGATTATTACTCGCGAAACGAATAGAGTTTGTTTTTTGCTTTACAATGTCGATCGACCATTCGATGAACTTCTCCATTCATTCATTTCTCTCTCTCTCTCTCTCTCTCGCTCTCTGTGTTTGTTTCGATTCGATGAGGACGATGACGATGACGATGGCGGGAGTAGTAGCAGCGATGCAGCGTTGTGTGTTCAGTAGAAAAACGACTTCCCGTTGGAAGCGCATCGACGGCCGCGACAAACAATAGACTCGTCCCATAATGTCAAAGTGTCCCATTGAATAAAGTCGCGACACCAGGACAGATAAGAAATTCGTATTTCCTACGTAATATAGTCAGCGCAGATAATCGTGTGAAAATGAGTAAAATGTTCTCTCGCCTTAGAGTCGATCCCGCCTAAAATGGGCTTCGGCGCTTGGATCTGATATGACCATGGTCGGGTCGGTGAGCATTTGTAGACCGTCCATGTC